ATTGTGGTAGTTGCTAGGTAACCGGATCATATCATGAATGAACGTTTTATGTATAGATCTAACAAAAATTTGGAATTCATCCTTAGGTTTTATGTGATTGATTAAAAGATCTTAAGCAGAGTTTATTACACGGACATACCGAGAACAATTATGTATAAAGGAAGTGAATTGGAGAGGGTGGTGCATTTTTTTCTCCATTTAATTTCTTCTTCAGGATTACTGACAAATTACTGCAGTTCTATTATCTATTTTAAATGTGATTCTTGAAATTATTTTGCTTCCTGTCATAAAACTGAGAAGATTTAGAATGAAAGTTTCAAATTTTTAGATCTCTTAAAATCTTCCCAGGGAAGTAAGTACTAATGCCTTCTCCTTCCTATTAATACATGTTTCTGTAGCAGATCTGTTATCTAGTTAGTTGTGCCCAAAGTTGGGATTTTTTTTTTCTTTCTTTAAACAATCAATTAAAAAAAAAGAATTGGCTTTTTTGTTCCAAGTTTACTTTCCACTGTTAACATCTATTTCCAGCAGTCTTCTCTTTTTGCTTTGGCTTCCTCTAGACTAGAATGTAATTTTATAGTACCTTTCACCAAAAAAAAACAACAACAAACAAACAAAAAAAGAACAAACTGAATCCTTGAAAACTGGAAATCAAAAGGTTACCTTGTTCACTCGTATTTAGCCCCCTTGAGCCTAAAGGAAGTTACTTTATGTCTTGGGGTATGCAAAGGACTAGAAAAACTGGTTTGTTTTGTTTTTTAATTACAGGAACGTTCTGATAATTGCTTCTGAGGTAGGACTGGACTTGCTGTGTAAGGAGGGATGGTGTCTGTATGGGTTTGTGAGGCTTAACCAGCAGTTGACTACCAGTCAGCCCTACTTCTAAAAGCTGATTGATACCTATAGGTAAACTGGCAGAGCATTTGTCTCTTTTGGGTCCCCTGAAGCTTTGGAGTACAGGTGTAATGACAGTGGAGATGTACGCTGACTTGAGAAATGATTATAAGCAGTGGAAATTTAAAATGTGTTTCTTACAACAGAAAGTAATCTGGATTGGAGGGGAAGGAATTGCATAGAGGGAGCATCACAGGAAATTACTGTTAATATATTCTTACTTCCTTTAATGCCTTTATAAATTTTTCATGTGCTCAACTTTGACTTAGATGGAATCTTCCATATTAGTGTAAAGGGAATCTGAATCTTCCTCACCATTCTTTCCACAAACATGTGAATGTGAGGATTTGATGGTGCACGAGTGAGGCACAAGGTTGATGTACGTGTGAATTATTGTAGTGTTTTTGAACATTCTGCTTAATGAAAAAGAATCCCCTGATGTATAAAATCTCTTTATTTCTTCAGAGATGTACTTGAGGGATACAACGGAACCATATTTGCGTATGGGCAGACCTCCTCTGGGAAGACGCATATGATGGAGGTAACATTTGATGATCTGTGCTTGGATGTGGCTCGCAGCGCACACGGGGCATTCATCCGTTATTCCTGACAGTGTTTGACCCGCTTAACTAGCTTTACTTACTGTTTATTGCTTTGTCTCATACAAATTGTATACAAGTAACATTGTTGGCAAATGATCAGTTCCTGAGTTTAAACAGTGAAATGTTGTATATTGGAAGTCATACCTAGCTTTGTTTTATCAGTGTAACCACAAAATTATGAAGATTTTAGGATTAAATCAGAGTTCTCTGTCTGGTAAATTTTGGAATTTTTAATGTTTATATGTTTTCAGTTCTCTCAGAGCACTTAATTTTTCCTCAGCTCCTTGGTTGTGTCTGTGTGTCCATCCTGTCCCCCGGCCCCTGGCCAAACATTTGCCACTCTTTGATAGGAAGGTCTCCAGAATGAGCAGAGCTGCTATTAATAATAAATGTGGGCCTGCTCAAGCTTTGCTTCTAGGAAACAGCCTGTAATCTTCTGCCGCTGCTGCAGAGTGTCTGCTTTTATCATCTGTCTGAGCATTCTGTATAAAGTAAACGGCTGCTTGTTTTAGTCTC